CGCTACTCCAGCAGCGTGTCGCCCAAGAAGTGAGCTACTCGAACTGTGTGTGTCTGCCCTGGCCTGGCCCAGCTATAAATAGCGCTGGGCCTCGCAGGTGTGCCTCCGTGTGCCTCTGGTCCTTGGCCTAAAACGGCCTGCCTGGGCCCCTACCAGACGTCCAGGCCCACTATCGGACAAAAGTGGACCTGGCCCAAAAGGGCCTGCTTGCGTCCGTACCAGGCCAAAAACGTGGCCTTTGTCCGAACAGACCGAACAGAAGAACTGCAAGTCCGAAATGATGCGAACAGACAAAAATAGGACAGCAAACAAACAAATAAATAAATAAATAAATAAATAAATAAATAAATAAATAAATAAATAAATGCTGCCTCAAATCGAAACTGCGGCCCTAAGGCCGGTGGAGGGCCTCCAGGGCGCCGGGCAAGAAGCGTGCGGCCTGGGGGCCCCCAGCAGCCGTCGGGCCCCGTTTTGCAGGCTCAGCATGTAACACTCCCCCCTCCTTATCAGGTCAAGCCGGGTTGAGGGCAAAGCTGACGATCCGAAGGTGGAACCTGGACGCGCGTACAGCGTGGAGCCGAAGGTGCCGACTTGCCTTGTAACTTGCGTTTGTAACGTGCGAGAACTTCGGGAACTGTGGACTGGAGTTCCGCATGGCTCAACCAACGGTAAGCCTTGTCTACAATAGGAAAAATGAACTAGGTATTCGGTTGGCTTGTTGTCGTAGCGTCGCTGGGAAATGATGTCGCCGACGTCTTGGAAACCATCCATGGAGGGTGGGTCTTGCGATTGCCGCCCAGCAAAGTTGTCGTGTTCCACTGAAACAAACAGGGCTAACTTAGAGCAATGGAAGACGCTGAATGACAGGCAAGTAGGCGGGCACCTGAATGACGAATGAGGGTCCTTCCGGTGCGTCACCAGCAGGTGCTACAATGCGCCAAGGCCCCATCCATTTCGGTAGGAGCTTGCAAGAGATGTCTTATTCGAGGCTGGACTTCCGTGGCAGAAACCCAGACAAGGTCGCCGGCGTGGAACGGGCAAGGAAGACGCTGGAGGTAGGCTTGACGGCTCATACGCCACTGTGTCTTCGACATCTGGTCCCGTGCCTTGACAAGGAGCTCTTGCATCTGTCGAATAAAAACGAGGTGGTTATCACCTTCGGGCGCCCATGGAATAATTGTGTCCAAAGGCAATGTGACCAGCGAGCCGTGCTAGAACTCGAAGTGTGAAATCCCGATAGCTGGATGAATGGACGAGTTGTAAGCCAACTCGGCGTCTGGCAGCCGCTCAACCCAAAGAGTGCGAAGAAGAACCTGTGCGGTTTGATGCGCCCTCTCAGTTTGGCCATCGGTTTGTGGGTGGCGAGCCGAACTCGGCTTGAGAGATAAGCCCCATCGTTTGAGGAGACCAACCCAAAAATCGGACATGAACAGAGTATCGCGCTCGCCATCGATCTCTTTGGGGTAACCCTTGGTGCGAATCCAACCGAGGTAAAGAACCTCAGCCAACTCCTATGCCTGGGCTTGATAGCTGCAAGGCAAGAACATGGCGAACTTGGTGAGTTAGTCGACCACCATAAGAATCCCATTCATTGGTGAGTCGGTCGACCACCATAAGAATCCCATTCATGCCGCTCTTATGCTTGGGGAACGGCCCGGTGATGTCCATGGCAATTGAATCCCCTTGTCCAAAAGGAACAGGTAGTGGTCGCAACTCGCCGAACGGACAATAGTTGAGGGCTTTGCACCGCCGACAAACCTCGCATGACTCGCAGTAGCGTGTGACGTCGCTGAGAAGGCCGGGTCACCAAAAGCCCTCGCGAAGTCGGCCAATCATTCGACTGACTCCAAAGTGTCCAGTGGGGGGAGCGTTGTGGACCTCGCCAAGAAGTCGCATACGCAAGTGTGGATCACTTGGCACGCAAAGCAGATCCTTCCCCCGCGAGTGGACTAGCAAAAAGCCCTCTTGGATGTGGTAGTGTGAAGGCGCCGGATTTTGAGAGGAGCAATTCGCGTACTTGTTGCAAAACTCGAGGTCAGCTTGGTAGCCGTGGATGAAGTTGTCCCGCAAGTCGTCGTCCACCTCGAACGTCATGTAACCTGCGGTACAAAGGTCCAGCACTGCGAAAGAGTGTCCGCAAAACAGTATGCTCTTCATTAGATGTGATTGGGGAAGAAGTCAAATTGGTCGATGAAAGCCAAGGGCGATGGTACTATTGACGGTGTCTTGGGTCTTGTAAAAGACCAACGAATTGCCCGTTACCCATCAGAATTGACTTCGACCAAGGAGAAAATGCCGCCACTTCTTGGGCACATGTACGACGGTTAATAACTCCTTTCGTGCGTCGTCAATCGAGTGCACGGCGAGCACCTTCTTACTAGAGTACTCGACCGGGTGCCAGTCCACACCATCGTGTTGCTCGAGGACGGCACCAATGCCATAGCCACATGCATCGGTAGTGACGCGAGTTCGATCATAGATGCATTAAACCTCTAAGGATAGCAAGGCGGCTTTGAGGGAAGAAAAGGAAGCCCACAAATCGTCGTCGAAGTCGAACAGTCAATCCTTTTTTTTTTTTTTTTTTTCCCTATTCGTGGCGAGCCGCACGTGTTGGGAACCGGGCCCAGCGTCCCATTAGGAACATTTGGAGAACATATACAGAAAAACTCGAGATACCGAGCCCAATACCCGGCTTCTGCTAAGAATAGGATCATGAACAATTTCTAGCCTATTAGACAAAAGACCTCATGAGATAGGCTGAAGTTAAGAGGAAATTTGAAAAAGCTTGAAAAAATATGAGAGCGGAGGTTAAAAACTGAACCCACCTACTATCCAAAACTTCCCCCCTCAACAGACGAAATGTCGGTCCAGTCAATCCTTGCATTGAAGCTTGGCCAAATTACCCGCGATCTTCGAATAGCCTTTGATAAAGCGTAGATAGTAGCCGGCTTGGGGGAGAAACAAACGGACATCCGTAACGTTCTTCGACACCGGCCACTCTTGGGCAGCTTGGATCTTGTTCGATAACGGACTAATGCCCTTCGGTGTGACAAAATGGCCCAAATACTCCAGCTCCAACTCTTGACGCGCGAATTCACACTTGCCGTTGTTGGCTTTGTACTTGGCGCAACGGAGCATCTCCAACACACGTCGAAGATGCTAGAGACGGTCCTCCAAGGTCCAGCTATCGACGAGAATGTCATCCAAGTAGACGAGCACAAACCGGTCCAGCATCGCACGACACTCATTGGTCATCGCCGCTTGAAAGGTCGTCGGGATATTGGTGAGGCCAAAAGGCATGACAACCCACTCAAAATGCCCATACCACGTCTTATACGCGGATTTATAGCGATCCTGCGGGCGTACCGAAATCTGATGATAGCTCGACTTCAAGCCCAATTTGTAAAAGTACGTCGCGCATGACGCTCAAGAAAATCGTCAATATGAGGAAGAGGCCCCACATTCTTGACGGTTTGCACGTTGAGCTTGTGATAGTCAATGCACAAGCGAAGATCCTTCTTCTTCCTTACGAATAGAACCGGCGTACCGTGTGGTGAGCTACTAAGGCGGATCCAACCCTTGTCCAACAAGTCCTAAACGCGGATTTATAGCGATTTTGCGGGCCTATCGAAATCTGATGATAGCCCGACTTCAGGTCTAATTTCGAACAGTACTTCGCGCCGCCCAAACGCTCAAGAAGATCGCTAATGCGAGGAAGAGGCCCGACATTCTTGACGGTTTGCGCGTTGAGCTTGCGATAGTCAATGCACAACCAAAGATCCTTGTTCTTCTTCCTTACCAAGAGAACCAGCGCACCGTATGGTGAGCTACTAGGGCGGATCCAGCCCTTGTCCAACAAGTCATCGAGTTGCACGCAGAGAACCGTGAGCTCTTCCTCGCTCATGCGAGAGATGCAACCTTTCGGTCGTACGACACCGGCCTCAAGAATGATCTCATTGGAGATCGGGTGGTCCGGCACCACACTGGTAGGAAACTCAAAGCAGCGAACTCGTCAAGCAACCGCACCACGCGGGGGTCCGAAGACAAGTCCGTAGGTGAAGATTTGATTGCTGCGACGGTCCAAAGAAAACATAGGCCGATCTCATCGGTCCGCTCATAAGCACAAGTGGCACAAAAAGACTTGGCCGTCACCACTTGGCACCGGATCGAAGGGTGCGGAAAAGGAATGGTACACGGGACTTCGGTGCCAAAAGCGTCGCGAATGGTAAGCGTCCACGGATGGAAGTTGACCATGTGGTCGG